CAGAAAACAACAACAAAAACAAAAGTCTCTCTTTCCATGCATGCACACGTTAGGGAACAAGTAAGCAAACCCCAAGTCAGTACAGTACATCAATGACTGAAAGTTAAATAATGTGTTGATACATAAAGAAAAAAAAGATAACATGTTGACTGCTATTGATGAAAAGCATCTCAACAATTTACATAAAATGTTTACTAGTTTTTAAAAAGATGTCCTAAGAAGACCAAGCCACAATAAGTTAGTGTTTTCCATAATACATGCTGAGTTATTTGATCCCGTATCTATACACTGTTACTGTCTTTATTCCTAAATGTTGTGACAGTATATTTAATAACTGAGGTACAGTTTACATCTTTTTATAGATATTCTAAGAGGATTAATTTTTCTTTTCCAGTTTTTCATCTTCTTCACCTCCTCCAAAGAAAATCAAAGGAAACATTCCTAGAATGCAGCCAATAGTCACCCCAACAGCTTTGCCCTAAGGAAACATAAAAGAGTATTTTTTTTAAGTTAAAACAATATCCTTAAAACAGGTATCATGCTTAAGTATCTATGACAATAGACAGCAGCTACATAATATAAAACTCAACACTGACTGTATATACTGTTGAGCATAGTAACTTAAATAGAAAAATGAGCTATCAAATATGTAAGAACCTATCAATTTAAAGTTCAAAGGAATGAGGAAAACAACTTAATTGGCATAAAAAGTAACATCAGCCAGGTGTGGTGGTGCAAGCCTTTAATCCCAGCACTTGGGAGGCAGAGGAAGGCCGTGGCCCTCCTAGTCTACATAGTGAGTTCCAGGACAGCTGGAGCTACAGGGAGACCCTGTCTCAAAAAGACAAAAAAAAGGTAACATCAAAGAAATATTCAAATAAGACACACTTTTAAAAAATTACAGATCTATTTTGGGGCTGGAGTGACAGCTCAGCAGCTTAAGAGCACTGGCTGCTCTTGCAGAAGACCTGGCTTCAGTTCCTAGCACGCACACGGCAGTTGACAACCATCTGTAACTCCAGTTCCAGGGGAATTCGACACCATATTCTGACCTCTACAGGCACTGTATAACACAGGTACGCTTAACATACATGAAGACAAAACACTCAAACACATTTAAAAAAATAATAAAAATAAATAAGATTTTTTAAATTATACATGTATTTTAATGTCAGAAGACTGGAACATAGGAAAGAAAAATTTATCAACTATTCTCAATATTAACTTGGATTTGAAACCCCTTACATATAGTCCTTTTCAATATTTATTCCCATGTATACTTAATTATATGTAGAAACAACCATAACATAAACAGTTTTATTTTCTGTCTCACTCTGTTCTAAATAGCAACACATTATAATAAATTAGTTTCCAAACTGCTACATACATTTTAAGTTCCACTGAATTAGTGAGTCTACAATCTCCTTAAAGCCTTCCTTTTCATAAAGAAATCCCACTGCTACCATTTCACAGCTGTGAGACCACTGAAAATTTCTATGCATAGTTCTTCCTAATGATTTAAGAATTAAATGTTGGTATTGTTGCATCTTCATAGGCTGTTGTCATGCTGTTCATAGCAGATGAAACTATAGATGTGCATATATGCCCATTTTAAAATATGGATATATTTACACCAATATTTCTGCAACCTCACCTACACTGTGAAGTTAAAAATTTTAATAAATGATTCTTTAGTTTTTCATTTCTATGATAACTATCAAGTTTAAATACTTTTCATATAAGTTTTCTTTTTTAAAAAAAATTATTTTACATGTATGAATATGCCTGCATGTGGGTAAGTGTACCTGTGTCATGCAGTGCCCTTGGAGGAAAGAAGAGGGTGTTGGATTCCCTAGAACTGGAGTTATGGACAGTTGTTAGCCACCATGTGGGTGCTGAGATTCAAACTCAGGTCCTCTGTAAGAGCAGTCAGTACTCAACCACTGAATCATCTCTCCAGCCCCCCAAATATTCTTTATAAAATAAAATCATAACAAGCAAATAGTTCCTTATTGTTTCTCTACATTCCTTCATTTTTGTTGAAAGCTAAACATTTCCTTAGCACAAGTGTGACCCACTACTCATATTTTATGGTAATTACAGGATATTTCAGATATAAAAAAAAAATCCCTATGTCCCCCTTTAAAATAACTACTAACTACTACCGTCAGCAACCTCAAAGCAAGAAGTCTTAAAATTGATAAGCAATTTTTGAAACAAAAGATTAATAATTTTTAATATTGTTTCCAAGATTAACGATTAAAATAAAATACAAAGTATTATAAAGTCCAAAATGCTGTTTAGAAATACTTATCCATACTTTAAGTGTTGCATTTCAACATTTAAAGTGATAAATGAGAAATTTAATTCAACCTTTCAAGGTCATTTTTCACATACAAATCGTTTATTTCCAAACAAATAATTTTAATACCGTCACTAAAACAAATTCAGTTTAACTTTTTAATTTTATATGTTATTTCCTATCTTGCCTCCATAACATTTCACTCCATTACCACTGGATCTCTTTTCTCTCATCAGTCCATGGAAACACTCAGAAATGACCACTAATGAACAACTACAGTATCGGTGGGGATGGGCTCCAGGGCGGGGTCTCGAGTCTGTTAGTGGTGTAGTGTTTCCACTGAGCTTCCATGTCGTGCTGTATAGGTTAACTTATCTCAAAATTAAACTACTTGTTTCTAATGCAATGTAACTGTTATGTTGATGGTTGTTACACTATCTTTTTAGGGAAAAATGACAAGAAAAATGTGCATGTTGAACACATACACAATTTTTTTAAATACTCTGATCCACAGTTGGTGGAATCCATGGACGCAGACCCTGAAGACTATGATAGCAGCTGTGCATAATATGTAGTCTAAGAAGCCAGGATCTCTACAGCAAGAGAAACCGATCATCACTCACTGCTTCTTAAAATCTTTTAAAAATTTTTTTACTGAATTTTTGTATATTTCATACAATACATCTTAAACTCCCTCACCTCATCTGCATTCCCCAGAGTCCCCCCACTGTATTTCATGCATTCTGTCATATACATTAAGGCCTATTGAGTCGTTTGCATCCCCAAATGTCCTTCATTGTGCGTCCATCCAATGGAGCCTGTTCAGCATACCCAGTATCATTCCCTTAAAGACCACCCTCACCCAGCAGGGATCAGCTGCCAATAGTTCCTCAGCTAAGGCTGGGGCTTCTTACCCATTACCCCAGTTCTATGCTGGGTTTTTGTCTGGTTTGAGCTTGCGCAGGTCTTGTGCATGCTGTCACCATTGCTGTAAATTCGTAAGAGCAAGTTCCCAGTCTTTTCCTTGTGGTCATCACCATCCCTGGCTCTTACAGTCTTTCTGCTCCTTCCTTCACAATGATCCCTGAGTCCTGGGTGGCAAAGGTTTAATATAGGAGTCCTGTCCAGGGTCACACTCCTCAGTCTCTTATTCTCTACATTATTGCATGAGGAAGCTTCGCTGTGAGAGCTGAGAGATGCATTAATGTTCTCTCTGCCCCCTGTTCCACTACATTCCCTGAGCCTTAGGTGTAGAGACTGCGTTGCAGATGTGTCTCTTAGGGCTGGGCATTTCTCAGACACTTATTTTTGCACCACATGCGTGGTGAGAGGTATACTTGTCAGGCTAGTCTGGAGGTCTCGGCAGGGCGCCAAGACAGATCCAACGGGATAGGATCCCTGTGGCCCCAGGAAGTCTGAGAGCTCAGATGGCAGGGCACTCCCTTCCTTTTTACTACTAACTTCCCTTTAGGTGTCATCTAGGATTTGTTTTTTATATATTTTATTTATTATTTTTATTTTATGTGTATGAGTGTATTGTGTAGGTAAGTGCACCCTTGTCGTGCAATGCCTGTGGAGGACAGAAGCTGTTGGATCCCCTGGAACTGGAGTTCAGAGAGTTGTTAGCTGCTACGTAGGTGCTGGGATTCGAACCCAGGTCTTCTGCAAGAACAGCCAGTGTTCTTAACCACTGAGCCATCTCTCCAGCCCCCCACCAGTAGTATAAGAGTGTTTTGCCTCCATGTATGTAAGTGCACCACATGCAGTGTGTGAAGAGTCCAGATCACTGGAAATGAAGTTACAGGCAGTTGTTAGCCACCGTGTGTGCTGGGAACTGAACCCGGGTCCTCTGCAAGAGCAGTCGGTGCTCTTAACCACTGAGCCATCTCTCCAGCCCCTCATCTAGGATTTTAACTGTGCACATTTCCTGCCTACAAAATACTCAAATTTGAAAGTACTGTAGAATCACTCTAAGTGTGTTAAAACACAAATTGTTCATCCTTCTTCCAGAATTTGACATAAACCTGTAGCTGAAAGGCTTCCCAATGGCCACAGGTCCCCTTCCTCCTAGCATGTAAAGTTTTACATAATCTCCTCCCACATTCTAACCAACAGCAAAGGTGATACTATATCACATTAGGCTGCTAGCAGCCTCCTGGCTTTCTCTCTTGTTGGCTATGATGCTGCCACCCTGTGAAACGGCTCATGGGAAAGGTCACATGCAAGGAGCTACACATGATCTCTAGATAATGAAGGAAGCCTATGAGAATGAGGTGGCCTGTGGCAAACAGACAGCAAGAACTTGGGACTGTTATAACCACAAGGAAGTTAATTTTGCTGAAGAACTATGTGATCTGGACATGAAACCATAACCAGGTAAACCTTCAGATCAGAACCAAGTCCTGGCTCCACACTGACTGCAACTTCCAAGGGGATCCAGCTAAGCTGTACCTGTCACCTTACTCACAGAAGAGATAACACATATATGCTGTTGTAAATTGCTACATTTCTGGTAATTTCTAATACAGCCATAGACGGGCTGTAATGGAGTCCAATGGTATGGTGCCCACAATCTCCCACTGAAAGTTGATCCTGCTGATCCTGGCCCCCATGCTTTAAGCACCACCACCCTCTCCACGGTCTGACTGGATTTAATGCTGTAGTCTGCCTCTGTTAGCACTCCCACCCTCTCTTCACCCTGCTGTGCTCTTTTCTGTTGCTTTCACATTCATGAACCTCTAATGCACTACGATTTTTCTTTTTCAGTACTTTTTATTGTCTGTCTCCTCCCCTGGAGAAACAAGATCCACCAGAAAAAGATCTTGCTTTGTTAGCCATGCTCCAAATGTCTAGATCGGTACCTGGCACAAAACAGACAAACATCAATACTTGTTGAATGAACACCTAACACTGACTATTTCTAATTCAGATTTTTCTGACTCATGACTTTCATTTCAGATGTCTACCAGATATAGCACCTCAAATTCAACATGTCCATAACTGAACTCACTACCTTCCTTACAAACTTGTTCTTCGTTTTTTGTTTTTGTTTTTTTTTTTGACTTAATTGCCAGCCTCATAATCCACCCAGTTTCCTTCCCATTTAGTCTTTGCCAACTAGTCATCATCACCTATGGATGCGGTTAAAGGTCTTCGGGTAACATACACCAAGCCATTCCTGTCTCGACCCATGCTCGCCTATCCATGCTGTGTTCTATTACTATGTCTACCCACACTTACTGCATGGTAGACTCTTGAAATGACTAAATTTGTACTCTGAATGTATCTTTTTTTTTTTTTTTTTTATCATGCCCTTCTATGCTAGTCAATGTACATAGAAACTCTCTTGGTCTTCTAGTAAATGCCTCATCAGTAACTCCAAAAAATTCCACCTGGAGAGATACCTCAGTTGGTAATGTATTTGCTGCAGAAGAATGAGGACCTGGGTTTGATCCCCAGAACCCACATAAAAATGCCAAACGTGGAGAGATGGCTTGGCAGTTAAGAGCACTGACTGTTATCTTGCAGAGGACCCGGGTTCAATTCCCCCATGGTGGCTAACCACCATCCGTAACTCCAGTTCCAGGGGAATCTGATGCTCTCTTCTGACCTCCATGGGCATTGCATGTTACAGGTACACTTACATACATGCAGGCAATACACTCATAGACATGAAATGAAAAAGTAAAATATTTTTTGAAAAAATGTTGGGCATGGTGGCAGGTGCTGTAATCCCAGCAGTGGTGAGGCAGAAGCAGGTGGCTCCCCAGGGCTAGTTGTCCAGCTAGCACAGCCATTCCAACTCAGTAATCTCCAGGCCAATGACAGACCTTGTGTCAAAATACAAGGTGGAAGGTTTCTGAGGAACAACAAACCAGACCAACCTCTGGCCTCCACATGCATGCATGTGCATGCCAACCCGTACACATGTGTACCAACATGAACACACACACGTATGCACACAGAAATAGTAATGTTTTAACATCTTTAAAGATCAATGCCAGGCCACACCTTTAATCCCAGCACTTGGGAGGTAGAGGCAGATAGGATCTCTGTGAGATCAAGACTAGCCTGGTCTACACAGTGGTTCCAAGCCAGCCAGGGCTACAGGGAGACCCTGTCTCAAACAAACAACAAAAATTATTTAAGATCCAATAATTACCAAAAATTCTTCCATTTACTAAAGGCAGTTCCTCCTCACAATGTATTCATTCCCTTACTGTTATTATTGCTTTATTTTGTGATAATTACTATTTATGACTACTTACATCATATTAAATATTAATAATTTGTTTACATGCCTGATTCTCCACCTAACAAAGTCCCTCAGGTATAACTATAGTCTATTATTCATTTTATACCTTTCAGTCTCTAGCATATAACAGATACTCCTTGATATTAACTAAGTCGTATAAAGATTTTTTTTAAACATCAATTACATTTACAAAAGATAAGGAGTTAATAAATTATTTTTCTGAGAACTTCTAAGGCCTGAGTAATGTTTCTTAATAACTCACTCAAATCAACTGTAGTCTTAAAGTTACCATACTGACCACCAAATTCATGATCAAAGGCATACAACTTACTTACCAAATGAGTACTAACACGTGTTTGCCACATGTCAACTTGCTTTGGTGTAAGATCAGGAATCGACAGGCCTAACCTGGAAGCCAAGGCTTCAACATAACCTGCAAGTCTTTAAGAAAATAAGAGAACAAGGAAAGTGGGCTTTAAAGAGACATGCAAATATCTTCATATAGGAAAAAAAAAACAACTATTACAAAGAGAAACAAGAGCATTTTATACTTGTTCCTGTCACTCAAGAAATAGCATAAACACTTTTACAACTTCTGCTTTTATTGTGTATAAATATATCCAGTTTAAAATATTTTCACATCCACATATTTAATATACAGGTAAATTGCCTTAGAGTAATTACTCCTTATTATCCTAAAAAGATCAATCAAGGTATATCTAGCTGTTTCTCCATTTCTGTAACAAAATACTCTGACCAATACCAACTTGGGGAGGAAAAGGGTTTATTCAGCTTACATCTCCCAGGTCACAGTTCATCAGAGAGCACAAGGTAGGAATTTAGGGCAACAACCTGGAGGCAGGAGCTGGAGACAGGCCATGGAGGAATGCAGTGTGCTGGCTTGCTCCCCTGGCCCCTGCTCAGCCTGCTTTCTTATGCAACACAGGCCCACCTGCCCAGGGGTGGCACCACCTACAGTGGACTAGGCCCTCCCACAACACTCAACAATCAAGAAGATGCCCCACAGACATAGCCACAGGCCAGTTCAATGGAGGCAGTTCACCAACTGAGGCTCCCTCAACCCAGGCGTGTCAAGTTGACACTAAAGTTATCCAGCGCGTGCATGCCTGACTGCATGCATGCGTCTGTGCATGCATGCAAATATTAAAGTTTTTGCAATTACTCCAAACTCAAAGTATTTTAATGTAACATATAAATTAATAACTATTATTAGAAATTAATAGTTTTGAAAATTCATCAGACTGGTATACTTATAAAAATAGCCAGAAATTTTCAGGCTACCTTAAGTATTTTATCAAATCTAAGTTACCGTCACTTACTGGATATAACCTTACTCTAAGAACTGTAAGAAAAAAGCTTGTCAATTAAACTTTTCAGATCAACATTTATAAGATGGATTCTGGATTCAGATGTTAAGTTCTTTTAAAGTGTGGATCTAAGAAACCATAAATTGTGGTATTTGTTAGTGATAGCAAAAATAGGACAGAGGAAAGATAGTTCTTAAATATAAAGGCTCCTTGTAAAAGCTTTCTGTGATGTAACTTAAAACTAATGTCTTTAAAGTCTATTATATCATTTGGTTCTATTAAGTATCAGAAAACTATACAGAAACTATAATATTGTCAATATTAATCTTAAAGTTTGAAGCTGGGAATGGAATGCTGAAGAGGTGGTATCATTATAAGACTTTATATTCTAGGGTATAAAATACTCTAATCATGGTCCTAAAGCAAAAAAAGGAAAAAAACTTCAAGAGGTACTTCAGCCCTAAACTCAGGTGCAGATACCTAATACTGGGAGTCAGATCCCCTATAAAACTGCTTTTTCCTGGATCATGGGGCTTAGCAGACTTGGCTAAGCCCCAATCCAAATCTCAAAACATTCCACTTGAATTCCAAGAAAGAAATACAAAGTCAATGACAGAACAAGAGAAAGATGTTTATCATATCATTTAATACCATTTCTCAGCTTTCCCCAAGCTCAGGAAGCAGCCCAGGCCATCAGCCACCGGGAAGAAAGAGAGAAGCCTGCTTTCCCAAGTAGCCGTTCACAATGTACTTCAACATCCCTGCCATATGAAAGAAAAAATGCCCAAGCAAGCCGGGTGTGGTGGCGCACACCTTTAACCCCAGCACTTGGGAGGCAGAGGCAGGCGGATCTTTGAGAGTTCAAGGTTAGCCTGGTCTACATAATGAGTTCCAGGAAAGCTGGGGCTACAGGGAGACCCTGGCTCAAAAAGACCAAAAAAAAAAAAAAAAAAAAGCCCAAGCAAATGCTGCGGGTGTGGCTCAGTGGTAGGGCATATCCTTAGTACATATAAGGTCTTAAATTCAACCTCCAGCATTAACGTGTGTGTGTACTTTGAACTTTGTGCAAGTGAGGTAGAATAGAAAAATGACAGAGATTTGCTTTTAATCACACCTTCCCCTTAGAGAAATACATCTATAAACAGAATTTCCTATTATGGTAGTTTTAGGCTAAATTTTTGCATATGTCACAATGCCAAGGTTCTATTTCAAGAAATTAATTCTCTATGCCTACCTAACACACTGCCCTAGCGCCTATCGTTGCTGTACATCAATTATTAAATACTATTAATTTAGGAATATTAAGCTAAAATTTTAGTTCTAGGACACAAAGGAAAATAAGCATTCTTCTTTCGGCCTTCCTAATTAAAGGAGAATATAGAAAAGAACATGTAGGTCCATAAATGCAGACATGAATTCATGAATGGACTTACCCAAGTCCAGCTAAATCTGAAACAAGATTTCCCAAAGCAGCAGCTAGAAATTTTAAAAATGCACAAAGAATTATTATATGAAAGTAAGAAAACTCACAGCAATACATCACGACGCAGCCCGCAGAGCACTGGTCTAAAGAGTTGCCACATCTCTCTAGCTGTAACAACTACATCCAAAGTAACTCACTGGACAGCAGACGCTCAAGAATTCAAAGTAAGCACAATTCTGAAATCATAATATTCTATCTCCATTAAAAGGGTTTTTCCTATTAGAACATCAAATTTCCATTTTGGTTTCAATACTACAATTTTACAGTTGTGTCTTTCTTTCATGTGACAATTATTTCAGGGAATTTGGATACTTGGAAGTTTAAGAATAAAGTCATACACACAACCCTAAATTCAAGGGCATCAAGGAAGAGAGGTACTTCACTTAAAAATATTTCTACCCATCTAGAAAAAAAATATTTTAATAGAGACAAAGGATAAAAAGGGTTGGAAGCAACACTAAATTACAAGAAAAACTCAACAACACAGACGGCTTAATTGAGTATTGTTACCCTTAACTAACATAAAATATATATATATATGTATATAGTACTAACATAAATCTCTTAAGAAAAAAGTGCTATATACACAAAACTAAGAATCAGAAGATTAAGGTTAAAGAGATAAACTAATAGACATCTCAGTGAGTAAATTCATTTCAAATAAATTATTCTCTTCTAAACCTAACTTACTGACATTTTAAACAATATGCAGACAATGAAATTTTAACATTTGCTATTATTAAATACCTGCCATTGTTGAAATTCCCAAAATAATTCCAATAGACAATTCAATCTGGGTTCCCTGAAAAGTAATTAGGGGGAAAAAAAATCTTAAAAATTAAAGCTGACAGGGCAGTAAAAGAAAAATTGCCAATAAAAACAGATTAAGTACTTATATCAACATGCGAGTACAACAAAATGATATATATAAAATATGCACAAATATGTGTATTATATAGTGAGGTAATTCACATAATTAAAAATATACATTTATGAAGGAAACATTTCATTCATTAAAACTAGGCCTTCATAAAAATAAATAGCAACACATGTAGCCATCAATTCATCATTAAGAATCTAGAATTTAGAATTCCTATTTTTCTGTCAGAGAGAAAGATGTTTTAAATCACTTTGAAAACAAAGACTGTTGCACACACATTAAAGTCTGAATATGTCTATCCTATTATTTACTCTATAAAAATATTAAGAATAAACCAGTTTCTAGGAAAACTGCTATTTGTAAGATTATCCTCTAATCTTTAGTTCTTTAGCCACTAAGTAGTGAAACTGTGATTCATTTATAAGTGGTAAAGCATTTAGTTTTATAGACCTATAAGAAAAACGAACCCACTGTATTTCCACTGAATTTTTTTTATTGAGACTTTTTTTTTTTAATCAGTGTCTGGAATTAGTTTTTTTAATTATTTTTGTTTTATGTGTATGGATGTATTGCCTGCATGTAGGTAAGTGCACCACGTCGTGCAATGCCCGTGGGGGTCAGAAGAGGCTGTCGGATCCCCTGGGACTGGAGTTACGGACAGCTGTTAGCTGCCACGTGGGTGCTAGGATTTGAACTGTTCTTAACCGCTGAGTCATCTCTCCAGCCCTGAGACTCATATTTTTACGTCCACTTTCAACTGGAGGAACTGAAGCAGATAAAACTATTTATTTATTATACAGAAGGAAGACGTCCTAGGATCTATTTTGAAAATTCAGTTCTAATCCTTGACTAAGATAAACTTAATTTTCTAGAATATTGGCATTTAAAATTTTTTTAAATTCAAATCTCCATGTTGAGAAAAAAGTCCAGTGTGCTATATAAAATATTGCATTACTTATCAATTATGCACAAAGCTAAAAAGAAATTGAATAAATTTTCCCTCAATTTTCTTGTCCTCCACTTTCAGTTGTACTGCCTTAAGACATAATTCAAGAGCCTGATGGACCACACTTGCCCAGGCATGTAAAATTACAAGCTTCTAAAGGTACCTTAAAAACCCCAGATTTCTGAAGAAAAGAAAAGAAAAAAAAAAAAAAAAGAAAGAAGAAGAAGAAACAAAAGGAAAAAAACAGGCACAGAGAAAAATAACAAAGATGTGCGTATTTGTTTTATAGATGCAGACAGTGTGGAGCAGCAGTATTCAAGAGATGTGCCTCAGGCTACAGTGCACAGGAAACAGAGACAGTGGAATGAACAGCAGTGAGTCACCCTGGTGACCCAAGAACTTCTTTGCAAAATATGCATTTAAAAAGTGCTTGTGTGAGCTGAGGAAACAGCTTGGTGGTGGAGTATCCACCTAATAGGCAATATGTGAGGCTTCAGGTTTGATCTCCAGCACAACATACAAAATAAGCATTTATGTACTTTATCTTTTTGGGTAAATTTAGGTATTTGAAGGGCATAAAAAGTGTCATATAAATTCAAAAATGTTTTGAGGAAAATTCTTTACTTTGTTCCATATTTTATAAAATTCTGTTTTAAGGGGCTGGAGAGATGGCTTAGCGGTTAAGAGCACAGGCGGCTCTTGCAGAGGACCCGGGTTCGATTCCCAACACCCACATGGTGGCTATGAACCGTCTTTAACTCCAGTTCCAGGGGAATCCGAAGCTCTTTTCTGACCTCTGCAGCACTGCATGACACAGGTGCACTCACATACATGCAGGCAATACACTCGTACACATAAAATAAAAATAATAAATTTTTTTTAAATTATGTTTTAATAGGTGACATAGAACTTATAAATAAATCTAATACCAGTTCTCAAAGTTATGCCTCATTCATCACCTTAATTTACCTTATAATTAATCTACTCCAGAATCCAAAAAAGTTTTATCCTAATTGTAAAACAAATTCTTTAAACCACTAAAATAAAAATTATAAAAAGCAATCCAGTAATACAAAATTACAATCAGCTATGTAACCTAAGGCTTAGTATTAATAGCAGCCAGCAATGCCGGTCTCCTCGACACTGTTACAATCAGCTATGTAGAAATCTGTTCTGACTGTTACAAATAGGGCAGCAGCCAGGAAGAAACATCTAATAGGACGGAGAAAAACAAGTCCATGGCATGACAGGGCAGAGGAATCAAAAGCTCCATCCTGTCTTAGAAAACTCACAGCTACTCCACAATGTGCAAAGATCATTAGTGCTTTATTTTTAAAATACAGTAAAAAGGTTAAAACAAAACATTCCTAAGACAGTGGTTATCACTGATTTCCTTTTCAGAGATTCTACCACTACATTATTTACCTATTTTAGTCTCTGCAGACAAATACAACACCTCATTTTCCCTGGAAAACATCACCGTCTCTGAAATAGCCTTCAGTTATAGAGACAGCGTTTTTCAGATGCATTACTCCCGCCAGATGTTGAAGTAAAAACTGCAGATTATCCTGAAGCTGGATTACTATATAAACAGGTTATTAATAACTTGGAGTTAACTATCACAGGTCTGGAAAAACATGCTGTGATATACTAATAATGAGGCACAGGTCTGAAGAACACAAAATAATGAATTCTACTATCTGACTCGGATGTGTTTGGTTTGGTTTGATTTGAGTAGGTAGCTATATCTAAACACAGATATCTATTACTTTAGTGGGTTTTTTAAAAATAAAAACATATTGTGGAGCCTGATTCAGAATCTAAGGCAGCACCAGTTTCCCTGCTCTTCTCTCTCTCCAAAATATTCCTTCACCCTCTTTATGCAAAACCTTTCATCTCCACAATTCCCTGAAGCACAAGGCAGTATTTCAGCATGTAAGTGTTTAGGTCTGCCCTATTAAGAAAAAAAAAAAAAAAAAATGCAATGGTCATTAAAATGGCAGTATGTGTACTAGCTGTCAATAAAGGAATCTAAAATGTTGAGAGAAGTCAGAATAAAGTGAAATATTTACCCCAGAAATGCTCTAGATCACACAATCATGTGTATCATGAACACACAGAGGCTTAACTACAATTTTTAAATTCAATATAATGGGGTGTTTGTAAAAGTAGATTTGCTTTACATTAACTGTTGAAATAATCTAGTCAACTCAAAATTTAGTAGTTTGAGAAAAGCAGTGTGGTTCTAAATGCGCGAATACTTTTCTGACGCTCAGATACACACACTGCTCAATCTTATTCTTATACCCATATTAGGAAAATGTCATAATGCTCAAAAAAGGACTATCCTGGAATTACATTTTAGGGAATTTGATGTGTGTTGACCTTTGGAAATCTGGTCTGCAGTGACTCTTATGACCTCAAGTTGTGCACAGGTTAGAGCACATTCTCTGACTGCTGATATAGCCAGACACCACTTTGCTGTGATACTGTATCTCTCTCTTCAACCAGAAGAATGGCTGTACCCTATGGAAAGCTCATCCCCATCAATCTGGACGCAAGGCTAGACCATATAGCAACCAAAACCATCCTGAATGAACTTATTTTAGATATTCTTTAAACAACTTTTATAATCCATAAAGCATACTTTCTAAAATCCCTATTTTGAAACTAAATCTACTTATGTTCATCTGTAATAAGAGGTGAATTCTAAAACTCCAAAAAGCAGCTCTGCTACCTCCCCACCCTTTCTTCCCCTCCTCTTTCCTTCCCCCTCTCTTCCTGTTCCTCTTCCCCAAATTATCTTCTTCCCTTCCAGCCTCCTTCATTTTGAGTAGTCTCCTTAATATAGCATGACTATTTACAAGCGATAATCAATAGAATTTTTTAAGTTAAACTCTGTGAAGCTGACAAATTCTCAGAGCTCTAACTCAGAGAAGTATTTTGATTTTCTCAAATAAGTAAAAACTCCACCTTAGTATTCCTAAACTAGAATCTAGTTTAAAGAAGCAACTGATACTTTTTTTTCTCTTCCCAGTACGTAGTTAACAGACCTTCAATCTACTGCTGATACCTGAGAAAGAAGACTGAATAACATCTTCTAAAAGTTGGTAACTGCGCTAATTGAACTATGATCAAATTATTATATTCACACAAAATAGAAGTAGATAGAACACTGGAGTAGTTTTAAAATACTTGCATTTTAGTCATTAATTTATTTCTTTTAGGAAAATAAACCAAATACTGGTACCCACTAAGAGCGTTGTAACTGATTTAAGAAAGTTAAACCCACTGTTCCTGAGATTTAAGTGTAACAAAGTAAAGGGGAACTTTAAATACTACAGTGCTACAAGGCAGAAGACGGTCTATCCAACGTTGTGAATGGAAGCTTAAGACCATCTTCGGGTTAAATTCTGAGACTAAAGCCTAGACTGTGTCCCAAACTTCTCTTAAGACATTCTTTTATTTAAAAAAATTATTATTATTTTTAAATTTTATGTATATGAGTGTACTGCCTGCATGTATGTACGTGCACCCGTGTCATGCAATGCCCACAGAGGTCAAAAGACGGCGTGAGATCCCCTGGAACTGGAGTCACAGATGGTTGTTAGATACCATGTGGGTGCTGGGAACTGAACCGTGCTCTTCTGGAAGAGCAGCCAGTGCTCCTAACTGCTGAGTCATCTCTCCTGTACCAGTTAGAGCATTCTTAAGTAAGAAAATTCAACAAGGAGCTACCCATATATCCTATATATGTGATGCCAACTATCAACACAACTAAAGAACATCAGGTATTTTTAGACACCTTTTTCTCTTTAATAAAAGTGCTCAAACTAGAACAAAACAATATAATCCATAAATGCCTGTCCAAATGCTTTGCCAAAAATTTTAATTTATATAATGCCTTAAAATTGAACTTCTGTAATTAATATGAAATGTACTAAAAGCAGCCTTGTTCATTATGCTAACTTTATCACTATAATATAGAGATTATTAAGAAAATGTTGACCACATTAATTTCTTTATTAACTCAAAATAGAAGTGGGGAGAAAACTTACTGCAACAATCATAATTGCATTATCCAAAAAGCCAAACCCTACGAAAGGTATCGCATTGTGGAAGAATACTGAAAAACATCAAAACACAGAAAAATACATTTTAAAATTCTGAAAACTTAGGATGACCAAAACAGGCCATATAATTAATGGCTCCTAAACAGACTTAATCATTATAGATCCTGCTGCTGCCATAAATTTAATTGATAAAAACTATACTGGGAAACAAAACAACGATAGATAACATAAAAACATTTTTAGGCCATTAGCAATACACATAAGTACAACTAATGGTAGAGTAAATTAGTAAACATATGATTCCCCATTTCATCCTACCCACACCAATCTATTTCTCTCTTATACCTAAGGACTATTACAACAATACTGATCTCCCTAATAGAAATAACAAAAACGTGCCTACAGTCAAATTTCAGGAAGTTACTCACTTTCACTCCCTAATCAACTTTTAAAAGAAATTTTAGGAAAAGGTGATTATCCTCCCACCTTCACTTGGCATCTATGTGCAGTCTTTCCCATCTCACAGTTTATCAGGATACCTAAATACTATGGAAAACTATGAAGTGTAACTTGACTTCTTCCTACCATAGGCACATCTTACCTCATCTATCTGGTACATAATCTGAAACCTGAAAGATTAAAAGTCAAAGTAGGAAAAACACTTATTTTTTAATATACATTTTAGCCTCGTTTTTTAATATTTGCATCTTTAGCACACTACACAGTGCTGAGAACGTGGCAGATGCTCAAAAATATTAGTTAATTGAGGACCACTAACCTGGAAAAGAAGAGAATTCCATATTTAGACAATTGAAGGAAAACTATGAAACAGATTAAAAGCTGGGAACAGGTAAGAGACTTTTTTCTAATTAAGCTATAAAACTGTTAAACACAGTCAATGTCAGTTCAGCTGAGGACTTTTTTCAGTAAACATCAAGAATCTGTTTTATACTATATTTTTAAAAAACAGTTCCTTAAGCAAATTTGTTGTATCTGTTAAATGATTTCAGATTCTTTTTTCTTTTAATGAAATTAATTCTGCAGAGAATTAAAATTTGCCAGTTACAAGATGTACGATTTAATTAAATTATAATCCAGAAGTTATGAAAATCTGATATAGCTGTAGTGAGTTCTGTACCATCAAGGGACACTAGTAAGCAGTAATTTAAAAAAGCACTTTTACCCACAACCACTATCAAAGAAATACCACATACAGCCTAATAATATGTGCTACCACATACAGATTACCAGTTACACTGCTATACATGATAGCAATGTCTTTTCAGATTTCTTCCTGTTACAGTGAAAATGTTCATGATCAAGATGAAGACATTAACTGTGAATATTATTTTTACAATTACTAAGATGATAAAAAAAATCACATATCACTTTAATGAAATGGGACTTTTCAATCAAAAAGCCTTGCCTTAGTTCTTTTTCACCTAAGTCCAACTGGCTACATACTGAGCACTCAAATTTTTATAAGCAGCTTCTAACACATACACAATCCTAACTTTCAAATACAATATAAATCTAACAGGCAAAAAGAGAACACTGAAATTTTTTAATTCACTGAACTGAATAAACATATACAACAAAGGAAATCTATCTAGGTGTATCTGAAAAGCACTCTCCATGGTCTCTGAAACATAAATATGACAAAACAACAATGAAATCAGCTGGGGTTACTTAGTATTTGTAGGTAAATATGATGTCATCTCTAAAATTAGCCAGTTACAAATACCTTAAAATAAGATGTTACGGGCACTAAACTAAGATTGCATGGATTGTTAAGACGGAAAGTGGCTTGTGCATAAACCAAGACATATTGTTATGCTAATCACCTTTAAGGATGAGATAGGTCTTTATGCTTATATTTAAATAAATCTACCTTATAAATAAAAATGTATTTTTAATCCAAAGGGGAAAAATAGGGTTTTTCAATGAAAAACTATATATTGGGCATCCCAATGGGAACTTAAGGTACAAAGGCAAATAAAATTTAATTTCTACATCTTAAAGGATTTAGATATACAGACTTAGTCACATAAACAATATCATCTACAAAAAATAATAATAGTATTATATGATACTATCAATACAGATTTAAGAATCTAGGCTAAGAGAATCAGAACAATTACCTAGAAAGAGAGATCTTAAAGAACTCCTAAATTATTTTGGTATTTGAGGAAATTTACCAATTTCTAATATAAATTATATTCTACTCAAGAGGAAAAAAGAATTGCTATTAGTGTTTTTCTAACCATTTGAATTTGCCTTCCGGTAGATAATGATCTACTAACGTGTGATTTCTTCAGTTTCCTTTGGCAAATACTATTTTATAACTAAGCAATTGTCAGCAAATGACATTTAATATTTAATTACCTAATTACAACCTACTCAAATTCACTGCTACACTGTTAGTAATTCTCTTCTTCCACTGTCTTTTAATAAGACCCTAAATGTTTTACATTACTTCCAAGTCATTCCTGCAGTATTTATTCTTAGAGAAAGGAAGGAATAGCAGCAAGGCACTGTTAAAGGTCTTCCTCCTGATGCTTTGTTTGAAGTGAACTTCATTTATCTTTCTTCTCATTACAAATGCTACCCAGAAGTACTTCTTGTATCAGAGAACAATTCTACCTAGACTGTGACTGAAAATTCTAGCTCTGCAGTTACCCAACTTAAATTCAAATACATCTTTTGTTCCTAGGAAGCAAATATAATACATACTTTGCCCTGCAAATTAAGGCAACTTCTGTCATAAACATGATTCTATTACTAGATGAGAATATTTTTAAAATATTAGGTATCCCATAAGTATTGTGATAGTATTGTCTTAAACAGGGCTTATAAAGTGCTTCTACATTTTTTTAAAAGGCTACTCCACTATCAGGAAGATTTGATTTACTGACTTTTGTGCTATCATGAGACAATTATTTTAAGTCCAAAAGAGATACACATAAATATAACAATTACAGAACTATTACCATATCTCAGCTGTCCTGGGGTGGGTGGTAGAGCTTCCAATTTTTCTAAAGGGGAAGAAAGGGTGTGGAGAAAAAATTAGTTACTACCACATGATTTTTAAAAATTACAGTAAGAAATGCCAGGCATGGTGGTGCACACCTTTAATCCCAGCACTCCAGAGGCAGAAAGAGGTTGGAGCTCTGTGAGTTCGAGGCTAGCCTGGTCTACACAGCAAGTTTCAGGCCAGCTGGGGCTACAGAGAGACCCTGTCTCAAAATGACAAAAAAAAAAAATTACAATAAGAAAATAGCAACAGAGTTACAAAATGGGAGGATATCAGAGTTTATTTATAAATTATATTTAGGTTGGTAGACCAAAATTATCTATTTTAAAGAATACTATTGGCAGCCAGGTGTGATGGTTCATGCCTTCAATCCCAACACTCGGGAGGTAGAGGCAGGCATATCTCTGCAAGTTTGAGGCCAGCCTGGTCTATATAGAGTTGCAGGCCAGCTGTGGCTACTGGGAGACCCTGTCTCAGACAAAAAACAAAACAAAAAAATACTATTGGCATGAATTAAATTATAAGATTAGGAAATAGAACAGTTTAGTCATAAGTCATAGATCATACAGGACAGGGTTTTCTTTTAAGACTTTGCATTACTATATAATGAACTTATTTGCATTAATTACCGTAGAAATAGATTCTACAAATACAATTTTTCTTTAAGATGGAAACTCTGGATGACTTAGGAAATAAATATTGACAGCAGGAAAAAGAATACTCAAATATAGCTGTTTGTTTGTTTATAAACAGGGTCTCACTATGTAGTCCAGGTTGGCTTCAAACCCACAATCCTCCAGCCTCCACATTCCAAGTGCTGGGATAACAGGCCTGTGCTACCACCCCAGGCTTGGAAATTACATTTTAAAAGCAATGTAATAACAACAGTTTTACTGAATAATTAATTCTATTTAACAATATACTCGTTTTTATTTTTTTAATCTATACTACTAGAACTAGTATTCTATACACCAAGACACCCCAAAAAAGTGCAGAGATATTTAAAATAATAAGTAATAGTGTACTATTTATGATATATAGGATACATTTGATCATAGTCAGAAGGTAGTGTGTACTACATTGCATAAACAGTTTTTCCAAGTACAAACAAAAGTATCATTACATGATTCATATGTAAAAATTTACAATTACAAAATCAAATACCTAGTCTCATAATCAGAACCATCCCGCCACCTGTTAATGTTATAAACGCCAATAATCTTCACCTTCATCCAATCAAGTAGAATTAATTGGTAACTCATAAAGAACCTACACAGATTTGTTTCACAAAGGGCTCATATACTGAAGGCTTGGTTCCCAATGTTGCAGTGTGCAGAGGTGGGACTTTGGGGAAGTGATTGGATCATTGCGGCCCTGATTTCATCAATGGATTCATCCCTTATGGATTCATAGAATTGTGGCATAACTGGGAGATGGTGGAAAGTAAGACCTGGATCCTAGTTGAAGGACCTAGGTCACTAGAGACATGCCCTGGAAAGATACACTTTCTTTGTGCCCACTCCCTGCTTCCTGGCCACCATGAGGTGAGCAGCTTAGGTCCATGCCCTTCTGCCATGATCTTATCACCACCCAGAAGCAACAGGACTCAACCAGCCAAGAACTGAAACTTCTAAAACTGTAAACAAAAATAAATCTTTCCCTTAAGCTGTTTTTCCTGGGTATTTGGTCACAGTAATAAATAGGTGATAGCAGTGAGGAAATACTTTCTAACACATTTTGAGAACAGAATAATACTAAATACAAAGTCTGGCAAAAACTAAAGAAAACTGCAGGGCTGGGGATGTGACTTAGTGTAGAGTACTTGTATACCATGCACAAGGCTATACATTCAATCCTCAAGAGGCTCAATCCTCAAGACCAAAAGGAGGGAGGGAAGAAAACTGAAGATCACAGACATATCTTTAATACACACTATAAAAATCCTTAATTGAATGCCAGCAGCTCTACTTTTCTGTGTTTACCCGTAACAGTGACAAAATGGTCACCATTCAAACTTCCTGCTTTTCATTTTCTTAGTTCTCAATGCATGAAGAAGTTGCTCTTAATAGGACTGTATGTCTAGAAACATACAGGATAAGGAAATAACCTACAAGAACCCTTCCTTTCCTGTGAGTTTCACATTCTAAAGTCTTTGTGGGGAGGTAAATAAAAAAACAATTACTGCAAATTGTTAATTTCTGATTTAGCATCTCAAATGAAAAGTATATGAAATAAAGCTATCTTTTCCTATTTGTTCTTGAGAACGTAAATATATTTAGATGATATGTTCCTAAATATCAAAACATTAGAAATTAAAAATCCTGAAAAGACAAAAACAATTTACATGGTTAAAAATAAGGTTTTTCAACATTTTCAAAATTCATTTTACTTCAGCAATACAGAAATATTCAAAACAAAAAACTTGAATATTTAAAGCAATTTTTTTGGTTAAATAATTTCTTAAAGTGTAACAAAGATGAAGAATTCCAGTTAGTTTTCTAAATAACCAAAGCAACCAGAAAATTGGTGTAGGTTGTGAAATATTGTAACTAATATTTAATATTAAAAGTAATGTTTCCTTGAAGATTCAGATTTTACAGCACATTAGAATCCTTTAAAGCTAAATTATTGTCTATCTAGGAGACACAAAACTGAAGAAAACTACTGTATAATCAGAAGTGGATGTGAAAAGAACACAAATAATTTTCCCTTCTATTTCAGGAATAAAACTTCACTTGACCTAGGTACTTTTTATATTTTGTTATATAAATACAAATCTGTACTTTTTATACTGTGTTCATATAAAGAAAATGAAAGCAGGTAAGAGGGAGATAAACAGGAGGAGAAAAACAAGGTAAGAAAAAGACAGGTTAAAAACAATAGTAAATAATCAGAGACTGTATGTATCTCAAGTAGATACTTTTTTTTAATTGAGAAGAAAGTTTCCCAGGCCACACAAAAAACTCTGGTCTGAGGCATGGCCTTTGGAATGTGGGTTTTCAGTCCCTCAAGGGTCTGCTTTGCTGATCAGCCACCTAGTGCTGAGAACTTGCTACCTCTGGGTCAGATTGTTCACACTGGCACAAAGCATAACATCAAGCTCCAGAGAAAACATGAAGAACCATCCATCTCCAGCTGTGCAGGACTCCGCAGGACTCCCAGATTTTGCTGTACTACTAACAGTTCTAGTATCCCTTGGTTATGTTCTAAAATTTTACTTTAAATTCTCAGCCATTTGTTTTTTCACTTTTTGTAATCTGAAGGGGCATCTGGTGGGAGAGGAAATTACTAACTACAGGTTAGGTTCTAACAAACTGAACTCCAGTTAATTAGCTGTTGTTGTTTTTGTTTGTTCATTTTGTTACACGTGAAAGTATCCAGAAAGCTTCTCCATTGGTAGGATTAAGAAGCTTCTCCAGGCATCCAGCCACTCTTCCCAGCCAATTGTATGTAATTTGACCCTAATAACACATAGTCTCCTGGATTTGGGGAGGGCTGAAGTACACAATCTGCAGAAGGCTAGGAAGAGAAGCATGACCCATGCTGGGTAAAGGCTGTCTAGTGTGCAAACCCTCAGGTCATACATACACCTCAGCAACCCCTCAGTTATCTCAGTAAGTTCAATAAATTCACTGGTTCCCCAGTAAAACTTTAATGAAACATTGGCTCGACACTAGAACCTTAAAAGGGAATAAGCATTGCTTAGCATCCCCAGGAAAAGAAGTTTCACAACCGAAGGAAAATTTGTTAATGCTATTATGTCTCATAATTATTTAAAAAAAGAAAATGAGAATGCAAAAGATGTTAAAAGGGTATGGAATTGGAGATATTTTCCAAAATAGAAAAAATGAGAAAGCCTAAGCAAGTGATGGAAGTCTGTTTAGGTTTGTTATATATAAAGGATGAGACAAAAATATACATAATCTTAAAATTTCTATGTTCACAGTTTAGTCAACTAGTTTAAGGAACAAAATATATATCTAGTCAATGTTTATCTGAGAATATTTGGTTCTTTACCCAAGCCTTATCTACACAGCACATGATAATTATAAGTACCAGACTGGTGGAACTAACCTTATTGGATTTTAACAGCCATACTTTAAGACCTATACTAATGTGGTCAGAGGGACTTAAAGGACAATTTTTTGCTCCTCACCCTCCAAGGTCGACCAAGTGCCAGGAGACTATGGAACATCTCTCAAAATGTCCTGTACTGTGGTGAGTCACCTATCCTCTTGTTCAGGGAGGACATGGAGACCCCACAAGATGGACTTGAACCAGTGTCCTGTCTACAAAGAAGAGGGTCAACTTAGAGAAAACATCTCATTCATGCTTCCAAGTGAAGCCAGACATGGTCGAACAGGACCTTTGACTTATCTTCACATAGATGGAACTGGTAAAAGAAAGAGCCAGGAGCTCCTCCCAAGCCCATGTGACCCCTGAGGAACAGATCCTCAAATGACCTTAAGTGTAAAAATAAATTGATTTCTTTCGGCCAACTGTATGGTCTTAAACACCCAAAAAGAAAGTATAACCAAAGAGTAAAGTCATCAGTATACGTTAAGAGTTCAATCCAATGTCTGGGATATATTTCCCAGGCATTAGGCTTAAGTCTATATAAAAAGTTATTTAGACAATTATTTCTCATTGATGATTTTGTTCCTAACCAGAAAGTGCTGCCCAGATGTAAGACTTCAAATCTTGGTCTGCAATACTGTAGTGCCCACCCGTAGCTAAGGGAGACAACCAGCTATAGTTCTAAAATGATGGATAAATTTGTTTTCTCCCCCTTTTTCAGAAGCCTTTGAGAGGGAAGTGACACTGATTCTAACCACTCCAACAGCTATCAAAATACCTGAAAGCGAATCCTGAACCCATCATTCTTGTGTCCAATCTTGGCAGACAAAAGAAAAATGAGGAAGAACCCAATAGAGGAATGCTTTTGGAAGCCCTTGTCAAGAAATTCCAATGGACTCTCATATGAACATTTGAAAATTGCCC